CTGTTCAGAGAGCCGAGTGGCCGGAGGGCGTTTCCAGCCCCTGTGACCCCAAACTGGAAATAGAGACACCCTAAATATTACTGTGACAGAGAAAAAACAGAAAGACATGCTTCACCATCTTTGGTGAAACAGCTGGGGACTATCCAGCTCTTTTATTACACTTCTGATTAAGCAATGATGCATCCAACAAAACTTCATTTTTGTTCGTTTTATTCCAAAAGCACTTCATTAAAAATGGTTTTAAAATATCATACATAGCTGTTTCAGTTTCTCAGAGTGCTGTCTCTCCATTGACTAAAAATACAAAACCAGAAACCCCCTTCCACTCTTGCACAGTTCTTTTCCTCAGAAACTTGGCTATTTTAATACCCTGATTTGTTTCCTTTGCAGGCTGGGATAACCCATGCATGGGTCACGTAACCAGCACGCTGCTCCAGCACCCAGCACTTGACAACAGGTCTGGCAGCTACATCCCTGTACCAGGGCCTGGCAGCGCTGCCACACCTTTGTGTGAGCACATACGTGTGTAGGTGCACTTAGCGTTACTGTTCCTTGTAGTGTTTTCTTCTTCCCTGATGTAAACTGACTGCAGAAGAGACTGTGAGCTGTTGCTCTCATTCTCTTCTCTTAATGTGCTGCTTCCTAAGCCTTGAGGCTGCTTTATCATCAAGGGTGCTCACCTGGGAGGCAGCGGCCCTCCTGGGACCCTCCGCTGCTGCCCACGCTCTTCTGAGTGCCTGTCTGGATGCCAGAGAAGAGGCTGCTCCCTACCAGGCCTCTCGACTCAGGGGCCACAAGAGCATTTCAGAAATTGCAGTCCCTCTGGGCTGAGCAGCCTGCAGGGAGCATAAATACAGTGAGCGCAAGCAACCTGTGACTGAACTCATTTTGAGTAATGTGAAGAGTAGCTGCCACCGTGTGACTGAAAACATTCCCTCAACTAGACTGAAGGAGATGAGAAAAGAAGTGTAACAGCTGTGGGAAAGAAAAGCAAATACTGAAGCGAGCAGACACGTTACCAGTCTCAAAAAAAAAAAAAAAAAATCACAACAAAAAAGCCCAAAAAACAACCCTAGAAAGATTACAGAAGGAGATCACAGCAGAGAATCTGTCAACATTTGGAAAAAAAGAAGAGCTGAATCTACCTCTGTGCATACTTTCTGAGTTCTTAAGGGTCCTAGGATGTCTGGCCAGCTGACCAGTGAGAGGTTGTTAACAGGGGCTCAGTTCTGCGTGGTTCTGCAGGCACCCAGCTCATCTGTCGGAGGATGAACCATCTTTATCTCAGTTGCCAACTGCCTGACTGCCCGCTACTCAGGCTTAGCACTGCAGCAACATCACCATCACCTGCTGCTCCCCTATGAGGTAGGTAGTTTAACTGCGCAAGGATCATTTGTCCTTTCAATGGCCCATCAAAGCGTTACCATCAACCTCTGAAACCTGACATAAACATAAGCTCTAAGCTATCTAAAAAGGTTACCCCAAATCCCAGTACCTGCTTCTGTCAGAGAACACCTAATCTCCCAAGTGCTATCACACAGGTGAGAAAACATTGACCATTTGCCAAAAAAAGGGGCATGTATATCCCAGCTGAGGGTAGCTGACAGTCTGTGTACCTTGCCCATGAGTACAGAGGACTTGGTAAAAACTCCAGTAAAATTAACAGAAAGGCTTCTCATGGACTGAATGGGATTTAGGATCATTCTGAGACAGGTAGTTAACTACATCCCAAATGCTAACAACCCTCTTCCAGGCCTGACCGTAACCACCCCATTAAATAGCCATAATCCAACATTCTGCTTAACATTCTTATGGCGACAGCATAACCAGGTCCCACTGTACGGGAGCAAGTTCAAAGTTAGCCTACTGCTGTTCTCCGTAGTTCTAGTGTAAAGGATAAGAAGTCTGAGAGAAGAAGGAAGAAGATGCACCGATCTTCAGATTTTCACAGAGATCAGTTTGAGCTGAAGAGAAAAACAGAGAAGTCCCTACAGTTCTGTTTTCAGCCATTCAGAACTGATCTCGCTGTAGCTCTTCCTCCTTTTCACTTTGTAAGTCAAGGCTTGGGAGTATTCAGACAGCAGATGCTCCCAGTAGCAAGAGACATCCTCCATCTGCAAGTGCTCGGTGATGAATTGGCGTCCCCTAGAGACACACAAGGCACAGTCAGAACCAATTTCCAGTTCCTATGAGAGTCTTTGGTTTTGTTTTATATGTATATCAACTTTCACTCTTCTGTGTGTCAAATGAGAAACAACATGCACCGCTCCGTACAGTCTATTTTAATTTCACAATTTTCATTCACGCTCACAGCTCTGACAGTTGCAGTGCTTTTGTTACCCTCAAGATGGTATTTGTTATCTGGGATAATACATATCAGATTTCACATACCAGATTCAGCCTGAGCAGCACCGATGCATGCTGCTTCAGAAGACAGTCGCTGCCAGCCTGGATACATAACGCTTACAACACAGACACAGTTCCCAGGGGTCAACTCACCTCATACCGAGATGAAAGCTCCCAACTCCTGACAGCTTTCAGTGGGGTTCCTGACATGAGAACCTGAACCATGGGAGTTCCTGAACCGAAGACCTAAGCATATAATCTTGTTCTCCAGCTCCCCCTGCTTGTTACAAGTTCTCCAACCCTCCTGCTGTTATGGCAGAAGATCAGTTATGCTGCACCCTATTAATACTAGGTTGTCTTTGCTAGGTAATTCCTTCAAAAGCTGCATCAGAAAATGCTTCGGAAGAAGACTGCCTGATAGCCAGAAAGGACACACAACTTACCTCTCTGAAATTTCTTGTGCTATGGCATCATTTTCCTTTACAAATTGCAACAGCTCCCTAAAACGAAGACCAAAAAAATTCAATGAAACAGCTAGCTCAACGGTGAACATTGTCCCTTAGCTAAACTATTGCAGAGGATGAGATTAAGGATATACAACTGAGCGAGGGATTGGTTCTCCTCATTTCAGAGCACAGAATAAACTTGCCCTTCTCATTTGTTCTGTATCAGTTCTGGATAGCATGCTGACATCTGGGAGCTAACACATTTTTGGCCCAGTAATAAGTTCCTCTTCCCCCTATCTGTGCTGCAGGCCCCGCTTGCAAATTTAAGTGCCTAGTGCCTGCTGATGTCAGTGAGGGCGACAGACGTACATATCCCAGTGAAACTGTACTCTCGAAGTACTATGAGCAAAGGATTCTTTGGGGGCACTAATAGAGAAGAACATGACCTCCAAGAGCCTTTGTCTGATGCCTAGGACTGGGGTCACTTCTCGGTGTAATACAAACCAAACCGCCTTCCCCAGCACAGCAGTGTTTTCCTATGGCATGCAATGCTCCACTGAGCACACTTGGGGTCTCACACCTGACGTTAGAGAGGTCTGATCGGACTGGGATGTAGTGGACCCAAGGCTTCAGCTGGGGGTAGAAGAACTCCAACCACTCCTCTCCAACGTGAAAGACGAGTGAACCACATAGGAAAAGGTGTTTCAGCCGAAAACTGGCAGCCACTCCCCGGAAATTAAACAGATACCTTTAAAAGGATAAGCAAAGAGAGGGACCTGATTACACTTGGCATTTTGTGAGGAAATGCACTAAGAAACTGGGATCCGAGTAGCAGTCAACCTTCCCTTACAGGTAGCAGCTGGGGGGTCTCCCTCACACTGAGCTACACATCGGTTGCTAAAACAAAGAAAAAGCATTTATTCAAAGCTCCTCACAGGAAAGGTGAGCTGAAGTTAAGATGTGCTAGGTGAGTTTCTGTTATCTGTCAAAACTGAGGGAGAAAATCAAGGCACGAGGCTTTACCTCTGATAAAGACGCCTGCCTGCGACAAACCAAAGGCAGCCTCACAGACAACCACCACCAAGGCACGGAAGGTCACAAAGTGGGTGCTGATCCTGTCACTCTACACTTCAGAGACTGTTACCACAAGGAGTTTTTCCCAATTCTCCTGTCTTGCAGTGAGCTTTTCTGTTCATTGTTCTGCTTTGCCACATCCATCTTAGCTGGGGTTTTTTGTTTGTTTTGATTTTTTTTGTTGTTTTTTTTCTCCTCTGGGATTCTGCTTTAATCTGAATCTAATTATTTCATATTAACTTGGGAATGCAACCCTAGGAGGTTAAGTAGGCTAGCACACAACAGATGGACTTTGCAGATAACAAAGAATCCACAATTTTGTTTTCAGTATTTTCTGCCGAGTTAGTAAAGTGGGCTTGACTGGGGGGATGATTTCTTTTAGCAAACTGTATCTCAGAGGGATGTTTGTTTGCTTATTTGCTTTCTTTTTTAAACCTACATTTGTCCAATTACATGGAAAGCTGTTTTTCCTGTGGGTAAAACCCCTCAGTACATATAACTAATCTTTGAAGTCAAACATTTTGAGCTGGGGGGAGGGAGTTCTTCCCTTAATTAAGCTATTTTGGGTGAGATGGGGATTATGTATTATATATATTTGGGGTGAGATTGGAGTGATACCTAAACTTAGTTCAGCAGTAAGTGACAAGAAGTAAATCTGAAATTATTTTGCATTCTTTGTATTATACCTAGGAGCTCAAGGCAAGGATGAGGAGCTCATCATATTAGGAACTCAACAAAGACATGTAGAGCTGTAACAAGAACAGTGGTCTGAAAGCACGGAAACTCCTTTGTTCAGCTCCAGACACAGCTCCCACCATCCATGACCTCAGCCAAGTGACCGAGCGCAGCTCTCAGACAGCCTGCTATAGCACCTACACTGAAGGAAGCAGCGAGAGGTTCATGTTGACCCTACCAGACCCTGGGCTACGACAAAAGTGTGTGAGAATGCCACAGCCTGTACTGTACATGGAGCTTAGGAGGTATCAGAGTTGGGAAGCCTACGTGTAACAGAAGGGAGAAATCTGGGCAACAGCCTAGTGAAATATAAAATGAGACAAGTTGATCACATTTGCACAAAAACACAGCACCAGCCAAATGACTGAGTTCTTATATCAGCAGATTCTAGCTCGCAGAATCGTAACTAGGTAATTTTAAAGCAAACAAAAAAGCAAAACATCAGACATCTAAGTGCACACACATCAAGAGTTTATATTTTTACTCAGAAAACCACCAAGAATATTACACCAAAACCCCTCCCTAGAGTAGTTAAAAAATAAAAATCTTTGTAAATCAAAAGCACATTCTCCCAAACAATATACAAAGTATGAATCAATACTGTATCTGCTGAATCATATTTCAGGTTCTCTCTTACTGTATACATCCAGTGGCAACACTTGCCCCAGTATGCATATGAAGACATGATTCCTTAGTTCCTTATGTCTTTGAAGACAGTAATGCTAACACTGTAGCAGCGAAAAAATAATTTTGAATACACAGCTTGGTACAGGAATATAAAGAAAAATTGATAGAAAGCCTTTTTGATTAAATAAATAAATAACATTTTTGATCTATATGTTTAGTAGTGATCTAAGGCCCTTACTTTCCCCAAAGCACTTTATTTCTCCTGACCTGACAGGGGAAAGCTGACACTGAAAGAGGCCATGCTAAGCTCCCAAATTTTCAACTGCCTTATGTCTGTTCACAAGCTTTCTTATCTGCATGGAGCTGGTTGCTGGAATTAGACCTTAAAATAAAATGAGACCTTACACCATGCAAGGAAAGAAAGAACTCACAGCCATTGAACAGCTTTACTAGTCAAAACTCTTACTTGTATTTGCAGTGATCAACCAGTGGAATTTCCTTTGCAGGAGGCCTTCCTAAGGTGTCCTTAAAATAAAGGGAATCAAAAAAAAAAATCAGTAAGCTTTATATGGTGATTTCATATTTGTTTTCCTTCTCAGTTAGAAACAAAGCTGAAATCTCAAAACCTTCCATTCCCACTTCTGAGAAAACCTTCTCTGGTGGGCTTTTGAAAGTATTATGAAGAATTCCCAGCCCTTCAAACAAGAAAAAAAAGTTGAGTAAATTACACACTGCCTGCAAGCAAACGCCAGCACAAACACATTAAATGATAATGTTTAGTTGGCAGCTACAGAGTAGAAAACAGCTTGGAACAATGGACTACGTGAAGCCAAGTGTAACCGGATTAGCCAAGACTGTCTGGAGGGAGCTGGACTGTAGACTAAGTATGGAACTAAAATGTTATCAGCAACAGTTATCAGAAAGTTATCAACAATAAGACCAAGAAATGGAGATGACAGAAAAAGGTTTAAAAAGACTGACAACACCACACAGGTAGCTCAGGGCTAGAAGGGGAAGAGTTGGATAATTTTGTTGTAATGAAAGAGGAGGGGATTAGCATAGCTTCATTTTCTTATGTGTGCCTGTTTCCTTGAACAAAAAGTGTAGACGGAAGAAAAATGTTTGGCCTGCTAGGCTCTAGAGACTCCCTTCCTTTCATCCATCAGAGAGCTGCGGCCATCAAGGGAGCTACAAGCCTCACCTACTCTAGAGGATCACTCACAACTCTCCAACAAGATGCTTCTGAGTAATCAAAGCCATCTTGCAACGCTACCCTTTCTGGCCTTCACAGTGAGGAGATAGACAACACCCACACACCTTTTCAGATTTCCAAGCTTGGTTTTTGGTGTACTCAGCATCAACAAGTTCTGGGTTTTCTCGGGACAGCAGAATGAGGGGATCTCTCTCAGGGCTTGTTCTGCAAAAGAAATGCTATCAGTAATTGCCAATCCACATGACCCAACACAGTTAAACTATGGGACTCCAGACCCTGCCTCTTTATGAGGCTGACCTCCCTATGTGCCCCAAAAACATATAAGTAGCTACCATACAGTGTATTTCTGTCCAAGGGTATATTAGCAGAAGAGAATGAGTTATGTATACCGAAATGATTTAAGGACATGTTTCTTTATTTCACTTACTAAATATTTAATACTATTATTTAAGCAATTCCCAGGACAAATCAGCAGAGATGTTGTTTCCTTCAGGCTTTATCCTGACGGGTACCAAATACTTCAACTCCCTTCTAAGTCAGAGAGAGCTAAGAGGTTCTAAGCATCTTCAGTGCTGATCCCTCTGACACAAGGTTATGACATGCCTGAGACTCACTCCTCATCATCTCATGAGACTACCTAGTAAGATATGAAATCCTTCCCGATTGGTGATGGGGGAGCAACAAAGTATTGGGTTTAACATGGTTTTCAAACTGTCACTGGAGAGAGGGCAAAAATAACCTACTCTCTTATCCCCCAACACTCAGGTAGCTTAAAGCAAGAATATTTTTGATTCAGTATCGAGCACCTACATAGGCATTCACATTGGCAAGACCTATGGACATCAATATCAAATCTTTAACTTTGTATCATGCACCTGCAATGCCCTTCACAGAGCAAAACAAGCTGGTTCCTGGTGTGACAGTTTTACTCGCTGAGAAATAATGTAGCAAATCCATCACAACTTCTGTTTCCAATATTAGACTTATTATAATAAACTAGTTGCAAATGGCAATGCTTATGTAGAATCATTAATGGTGAAATGCTGCTGTACAAAATGTCCTGCTTTGCTTAATTTAAAAAAATATGTTATGGGTTACACTTGTTTAGGTCTTAGAGATACTGAAATTTCTGCATACAGACAGATGTCACAGCATATGTTGGAAGAGTCTCCTGTTACAGGAAAATATGCTCACCTGGATCCTCGGAAGTATCCTTTAGAGATTTTTTTCATCCATGGCCATTTTTCTGCAGATCTGAAAATATTATTTAAACATGGCAATAAATGATTTCATATAACCATGAAACAGCACTCTCATCAGTTTCACAGCATGATCTCTTTTTATTATTCTTCTTTTTTGATGGAAATCACTTTCTTCATTATAGCAGAAAAAACTCTCAGGTCCAATGAAACAGGTTTTCCTGTGAATATCTTGTTTAAGGCAACATGATGTAGGCTACTTTTCAGAATACCTTTCAGTCAAAACAATGAATTAACACAACCCCCTCACCAAACCTTTAAGGGTATTAAAATTTATCTAAAATCTAAATCCACTTTTTGTATTGTTGCTTTATTTTTCTGTACTTCACTGAATATGGATAGTGCAAAATGACTAGAGAGTTTCTAACCACCGTCATTTCCTGTCAAAAAAGCCCAACCAAAAAACTACAAACAAAAAAAAAAGCACGTACTGTTTTGCATTTACAACATAGGGGTTCATTGTTTTCCCAAGTAAGTCCTTCAAAATAGCTGTTCACGTTTTATTTCTGTCAGTGCAGTCACCTGCCTGCCTCTGGGGAACTCTTTGCTGTACTCTTCTCTTGCACCTGGCTTGACATGTAGGTCCTGATCCCCAAACTGATCTGCGCAGGTCAAGCTTTGCATCTGCTTATAACTCACTGACACAAGTGGGGTTCACTGAGAAAGTAAGGATAAGTAAATGCTTTGGACTTCATTGTATTATAGACATTAGGCTTCAGCTATAATTAATCCCATAGATTTTAAGATTTTGAACTGGGAAACATTCAGCCTTCCATTCTGATGTCAAGTGACTGACATCAAGGTGCTTCTTCATTATGTTTCTATATTTACCCACTGGTGCATGCTTTGTTTGTCGCTCTCCATGGGGAACAGCCCCTTATTCTGCTAACAGTCAAAGATCCTGCCAAAAGAAGGACTCCCAGTCAGAAACATCTTCCATCTTACTCTCAGCCCAGTAATGACTCTTAGATTCTTGGGCATGATTCCAGGTTTCTCTATTGCACAATACTACTCAAGCAAAACCAGATCTAAAGAAGGCTTTCCTTTACCCTTCCAGAAGCATATACAAACATCCTGGATCAACCCTGCAGTGAAAAAAACACAGCTCCCAGCAAAGCAGTTGGAAACAAAGGAAAATGTTTCCATGTGTCATGGGAGATTTCTGCAGGCAAAAGATAACTGCTACTTTATTGACAAACCCTATCCCACCGAAAATTATAGTAATCTGGCCCTGACAGCATGAAGAATGTGTGTATTTTGTCCTCTGCATTCCTTACTAAAGTGTCGGAAACAGTGAAGCTAATTATAACTTCCAGTTACATCATCCAAGGTTTCCATGGAGAATTCTTATACAGCAGTTAGGCTGTATGTAGTCAACGAGAGGCAGCAGGACAGATCACAGGCCAACAGCACTACGGTCTTAGACTTCAACATTGGCCCAATGCTGCCCAGTGCTGTATAGCTTTTACTGTGAGTTTGTCTTCCATTAAACCTCCCCACACACAACCATTTCCAAAACATACCTTCTGAGGTCCTCTCTCATGAGGTCCCAGCGCCCTAAACCTGTTGGGTAAATTGGCCAAACAGCTGGTCCTCCTTCCCAAAACGTCCAGGCAGGATACATGATATCATTGTATTCAGGTGTCTTAAGAAAAAGGAAAGTAATGTAAGAATAAGAGTAATATCTGCTTCAGTTTACTGATCGAGCTCACCAGTAATGAACGTTCCTTCTAGGAGTTCTGTTGGCTTTCTCCCTTCCTGTTCCATGAGCAGCCATGAGAGCTTTGCGGACACCGTGATGTCACTGGGGTTCGCACAAAGACAACCCAATATTGAAACGTTTCAATCATTTTAAAAAGGCTATGTCTTGCTGCATGACAACATGGGGCTTTCATGTTAGAAAATAACAAGAGAGGTCCATGATACAGCTGATTAGTAAAAAGCAGAAGACCTGAGCTCCACTCACCTTTCTAAAGACTTGTGCCTATGTGTAGCTACAAAGGTTTTCTACTGATGATAAGTTAAGCATTATTATCTCCTCAGAGATAGAGGCACTTACAGACACTTCAACATTTAGGTTGCCAACATTTCAGTTCATTCCAGCCTTCCAGAGATCACTTAACAAGTCATTGTAACAAATACGGAAGTGATGTGAGAATTTCAGTTCCTCAGTCATATTTTGAATCCCCATACAATCAAGAGGGAAGACCAGCACTTAAAAAAGACCAAACCCTTTCATGAAACCAGACTATAGGTCACTTCCTTGCACTAGTAATAAACTTCCTATAAAATTATCCACCTATCTGTCACTTGGAGATAGTGGAGAGAGTCCAAGGCCACCCAGGTAGGTAGGAGGTTGGTGCACATGACATATAAATAGAGGTACAGGAAGAGGAGGCTTGGGGGGAATCTAAACACTGTCTCTTACTACCTAATAGGAGAGTTCAGAGAAGATGGAGGCAGACTCTTTTGAGAAGTGCAGAGACACAATGAGAGGGAACAGGCTTTGGCTACAAGAAGGGAAATTCCAATTAGATATTGGGAAACATGTTTTCATTCTGACTTGCGGACACCTTCTCCTCAGGGATGCTCAGATCTGGGCACGATGTAGCCCAGAGCACCCTGATCTAGTTGGTTCTGTTGTGAGGGAGGTGCTGGTCTGGGTGACCTCCTGAGGTCCCTTCCAACTTAAATGGGTGTGTGCTTCTATGATCTGCTCCTTCTCAGTCTTGCTATAAACAGGCACTGATAACAAACCATGACAGCTCCACCACCACCCCAGGGTCAGCTTTCTGAGATGCAGAATAGGACAATCCTTCAATCCCTTATGCTTTCAGCCTCAGGAAGCACCCTGGATCAGCACCCTGGAGCCTTCCTAACACTGGCTGCTTAAATGTGAGCTGTGCCTGGGCCACTGGGTTTCAGTTAAGGATAGAGTTGAGGTTACAGCTCAGATATTGGACAACAGTGACGGGAGAACTCAGTTTCTTGCTGGGTCCTGCAAGGCATCCAGGTGCAGGATGCTGAATACGGCTGCAAGGATTAAACTCCTGCAACCTGCTCTGCATCACTTGGCATTCTGCTGGCTAGAGTTAAGGTTGTGCAACGGTCAAGGACAGGACAGCTAGCTTTACTACTATATCTGGCAGCAAACATGGCTATTGAATGATAACATAGTACTTGCAATACTGTATTGAAATTCTAGAGAGAGTTGTAGGACGGCTGGCAGCTACGCAATAGTTATGGATCATATTATGGTTCAGACTGCACGAGCTGAAGACCTGAGTTCAGACTAAGATGCTCCAAGTTAGCAGAAACAGAATAGGGCCTGAACTAGTAAGAGCAAACGGTTTATTGCTTCTTTTTGCATCTTACTGTCTGCTAGGCTTCAGCCAAGGACAGGATCATGATGAGGGTTAGGTGGCGAGGGTGCAGGACTGGGGCACATTGGGCATACACTAAGGCAAAGCAAAACCAGCTGAAGCTTGAGGTGTGACGATATTTTATTGGAAAGGATGAGACACTATGCTACAGTGAGGTTTAACAATGGGAGAGGTAGGAAAACACAGAGGAGGGCTCTCGACTCTAGGAACAGAGAAGCAGAGAGTGAACATCTCTATGCGCCTATGTGCCTCTGCATGTGTGTGCATGTTTGAGGATGGAAAAGGGAACCCAGGGGAAAAGGGTTCACAGGAGATAGCAGTAGTACAGAAAAGAAAATAAGAAAGACTTATCTGTGGCACCAAAAAAGAGGACTAAAATATTCACATTAAATTAACTGTATGACAGCTGACTGATGATCAAAAATCCTTAACAATGCTGATAAACTACAGCTACAATTTTAACAGAGGCATTGTAGCAAATGACAGCAATGCTGGCACATATTCCATCCCTCTTTGCATCATTCCATTGTGGCACAGGTACATTTTTTGACCTGGAAGAGGAGCTAATGAAGGGAAAAACTGTTCTGTTGAATAAATCTGCAAGTCTGTCTGCCAGAAAGCTGGAAGAGAAAGGAAACATAAAGATCAAAAAAGAACAAGCAATTTTGACACACAGAAAATCTGTGGGGAACCATCCTCAAAAATACGTTCCCAAGAGAAAGGAGGACACGTATGTCTCAGAAATGCTCAGCTTTTAAAGGTTTGCGCACCTTACTGAAGGAGAAGACCGGGATAACGGGTTTCATCCACTTGGGGACCTGGGGGTAGTCTCGCACATTGATCACCATTTCCATGTCAGGGAGGCGGTTGATGATCCCCAGAAGGAAGTGCTCAACTCCACTGCATCTGTGGAGAAATGACATATGGCTATATGGCAAAGAGCTATGAGGAGACAGCAGAATCCTGCAGTCTCCTGCAAGCCTTTCTCTCTGCATAGGAACAGAAGAGACGGTGAGCCTGAGTCGTACCACGATGCAAGCTGGGAACTGCCTATAGCAGCGTCTAAACCCTAACACAGTATAGACACCAACGAAGCAACCATCCTGTTAAATCTCGCCTGATCTGCAGCTTTCTCTGCAATCCCACAGCCAACCCACCCTTTCTACACTGAAGGGCAACAATGACACTTACCTCTTGCTACATTTAAGCCTCATACATAATTTTCTAGGCTTCTGCTCTGATAAGGAATTCAGATCTCTGAAATATCATTGTGTTTAATCACTTTCAACTTGGCAGAGTTGGAAGTACTCCTGTGTCCCAACTAGGGAGATGAGATCTTCTGGACAGCTCTTACCTTGCAGGGAACAAGCAGTCCTGCTCACGGTACAATTTGTTCTCAATGATTTGGTAGTGTGTCCCAAGCTTCCGGCTCACCACATCCAATACTATCTCCTTGGAAATGCCACCTTGAAAAGGAGCCAGGTCCTGCTTCCAGACACTGAAACAAAACAATTAGCCATTATTATGTACAATTGCAAGGATACTGTGCATTAAATTACTGCAGCGTACAGAACAGACTCCTAGCTAAAACAAGCTCTGTGTAGCTTCCAGGAGCTCTGCTATATGGGGCATAATGGCAAATTTAATTTAAGTCACTTGGAAGAGCTGTTACTCAGAGACTCAAAGGTCCAGGCTTCACTCTTTGACTATCTATGTGCTGTTTGCCCCAACAGAAAGCCCAGCACAGGACTCTGAGGCTAAATCAACATGGACAACTCTAGTTACTCTCCCAGAAAGGACCTTACATTCCCTGAGAGGTTATGGGTAAAAGCCTTCAGCTCACTCAACCTTTGAGTTGCAAAGCTTGTGCTCTGGCCTTCCATGAATGATGGGCCACACCAAGACCAAATTTCTCACACAGTGCCATCCCATTTAGATATTAAAAAAGAAGGTAAGAGTCTAGTTGCAAGGAACAGCATTGCCCAATAATGCTGGGTGCAGTGAAAGCCAGCCCAGCAGGACAGGCCTATGTAAGATGTTCTGTGACATCTCCAGGAATGCAGTATGAAAACATAAACCTAATGAATATAAGAAAACACAGAAGGAGGATGCAGTTTACATAAATTTAGTATAGCTGTCCTCAGACCTAACTGCTTGGAGCACTTCACGAACACTGTCAGATTGTAACAGCCGTGGAGACATCCTCCCCTCTTTTTGGTAGACACTGTGCCAATGCCTCAGTTTCATACAACGCTGTCAGGATGATCTCACTGTGAGGGCGGTCAAACACTGGCACAGGTTGCCCAGAGAGGTTGTGGTGTTTCTGTTCTTTGAGATATTTAACACCTGACTGGACCTGCTTGAGCAAAGACGTTGGACTTGATGGACTCAAGAGGTTCCCTTCTAACCTCCACGATTCTGCTGTTTTGTAATGAGGTAGAAAATAGTGTAACTACATTAAGAATTGCCAGTGTGCAGATGGGCTGACCACAGGATAACAGTCTGACAGGGATGCAAACGTAATGAGCTGAGAACAGGAAGAAAGCTGCAGTTTTATGGCACATCCATGTCATTGTAACCTAAGTGACAACTGAAAGGTAGCAACAAACAAGTGAGGATCTTCAGTCCTTGGCCACTGAGTGACAGAAGACTAGACATAAGTAGATTCTGTTATATGGGGAAATGTACTGGTTTTCAGCGTTCTGCTGCATATTTACCTATCTCCAAATCAGCTATCAAAATGAATCAAGTTTCTTAAGTGTCACACAATGTACGTGCTGTATTATCTTCCTGGATTCTTTTATATTGCCTTAACAACCCTTAAATGAACTACTGCTTTAGTGAAAGCTAGGTTTCGAGACCCATAGCAACCATAACTTCATGTTACCGTTGACTATCATGTTCTGAAGCAGATTTGAAGGCTATAATCACTTGGGAAGGTGTCTGACCCAAAGGTGGGCAGGAGATGGTGGAGCATATGTTTAAAGATTAGGAGATGTCTTTAGGCTGTATCCAAATTGAAATTCAGGAAAAAGACTGGAAGGCTAAACTAGAAGAGACTTTTCCTCATCAACATTTTAAGAGCAACGAAGATCAAAAACTCCAGAGTGTATAAACAGTTGCCCAATATGACTCAACTGATATTAAAAGCCAATATAGCACTCAGTCTCACCCCCAAAATGAGTGAGCACATCAGGTACTTTTAAATTGGAGGCTTAAAATTGGGCATCTGTGTTTCTGCATTTGGAATCCTAATCCTAAAGGCAGAAGAGTATGTTGACACTTCCCTGAATTCCCTCTTCTTTAAACAAAAATGCTGCTTAAAGGTATCAAAACACCCCAGTCCTACAATCCCTGTGCATATGGCAATGATGACCTACACACCTGTAACGTTCGCCACGCTGCAGCCATGCTCTATCAGTGCGAACAGAAAGGAAGTTTGGTTTGGCTATGTCTACAAGACAGATCAGCCTGCACTTGTATTGCCTACAGTCGTCTTGCAGCAATATGAGCCTCTGCCTATCTGCATTAAATTCACTGTAGGAAGATTAGGCCAGCATTTCAAGTCAGAGTGCTGGCATTATGCATAATGCTCCATAGTTATTAAAAAATAAACAGGACTTGTGACTTTCTGAATGAGCTCTTCTTGGATCATGCTTTGGTCTACCAAGTCAGGTAGTTAAATATCCACCATCACTCCAATTCTCACAAGCAGTGAGCTAAACTCCCTAGAAGGAGCACTAAAAAGTACAGCACACTATCACACCAAATGAATCTGTGTTCTCGAACAATCTTTCTTAATCTAGCTCTTTAAAATATTTTGCACATACTTGACTTCGTCCACTTTCAAAAGCCCATGAGAAAGACTTGTTAGCAACATAACACTGAGAGAGAAGGCAGAAGCGGATTGTTAGGACAGAAATGTCACCACCTATGTGTATGTTTTACTGCGTGACCATATATGAAACGCTGCCATAGTGTATGTTCAATTGCAGAGGACAACAAAGAGTGTGATCAGTTCACAGGTGGACACACCTTCTATTGCAACTATGGAGGTCAATCTGTTTCATACAATGCCATCAATAACCTCCTCCTTGCAAGCACCACGACCTATGATGGCTGCAGATGTGACACTTTAGAGCCTAAATATTGTCTAGCTAATTCCCAGCCATCAGTGCTGGCAAAAGTATTCCCTCTCACGGCCAAAGGTCTGTGCAGCCAGAAGGAAACCAGTCTCTCACCTTTGGTGGCAGCTGCAATTCTGCTTTACACATGGCTTATAGACTTCCACAGCTTTCTTAATTTGGTCTGTTATTGTCTTCCATTTCGCATCTAAAACACACGGGAAGAAAAAGTCAAAGGAATAAATCCATTAAACTACCAGAACAACTAGCAGGAGCTGAACAGCATTTCTAATCCAGCTGGCAATAACAATGCACCAGGGTCCCACAACACACTCCAGTACTGCTCCAGCCCATGCTGCACAACGAGAGCATCCCTCAAGCAAGCGGGGGAAAGAAAAGGCGCCGCGGGCAAGGAGAGGGGCACCCCGCTGGGGGGGCCGGGGAAGGGGCAGTGGGTCGGGCACCCCGTGACGGCCCCGGACTCAAGGGGAAGCCGGGAGGAGCCCCCTTTGAGTC